CCACCACCACCACCTCGAGGGCTGCTCCCCATCATCTCAAGGATTTGCAGCAAATGCTAATCTTGCTGGGAACATCTACATTCTCATGAGTAAACTGAAAGAAAAGGCGATGATCATCACCAGACTGTTGGGACTCTGGAGGCATCACGTCTAAGTTCAATGCTTTCCTTGCTCAAACTCTTTCAGTGGTGAGACATGGTAGATGCTTTTCCTCTGGAGGGAAGGAGGTTAAAAACAGATGAAATTATCGGAGTGCAGCCAGCAATTGCTGCATGCTGACTCTCCCCCTTGCAGCAGAAACAGGTGGGGCCTTAGGAGCCTGAGAGAATGATAACTGATGGTTTTACTGGTCCTCAAATAAATTAACTGAAGCAGCAGGAGATGTAGAATTAATACAGAACAAGATTTAGCACAATGCTTTAATGAGCTGTTAGCTCAGTGAAAGCAGCAAACAATTAGATTCAGTTGTGGTAAATTTTGAGGCTGCTTGTTTCTGTTTTGACATTCTGCATTCCTAGAGGAGACTATCATCTTCCCATCAATGACTAACACTTGCTCACTGTATTGTCTGCAGCAAACATTTCATTCTTAAATAAAACTATAAATGGCAAATGCTGGAAATCTGTAATGAGAAACAAAAGAATGCCAGAGAAACTCGGCAAGTCTGGCAGCATCTGAGGGGAAAGACACAGAGTTAACATTAAGTTCTTTCTAACAAAGGGTTACTGGGCTCAAAACATTAACTCTAACTCTGTTTTTCTTTTCACAAATGCTGGCCAGACTGGCTGAATTTCTCCAGAACTTTGTTTTTATTTCAGTCATAAATTTTGTCTCGGTCTATGGAAGAGTATGTCGCAACCTCTTCAAGGTTATGGGCCAAGTGCTAGAAAGTTTGACTACTGTAGATTTAGTTTTTTTTTGCCTGTGCAGATTCAGTGGGCTAAAGGCCCTCTTCAATATTGCTTGATTCTCTATTCTTCCCACCTCCCGAGTCCACACTGAATAAACATGTCCTTGAGAGATTGTGGGAAATCTCAAGTCTGTCTCTCCTTCCCTTTGGACTCTGTACAATTCTCCAGTTCTGTCTGTCGCAGGCTGTGGGATGGCTTTTCAGAGGGTTGGTGTGGACTCGATGGGCCAAATGGCCTGCTTCCACACTGTTGGGATGTAGCACTTGGGGGGATCAAAGGATATGGCAGAAAAGCAGGAACTAGCTATTGCGTTTGACCATCAGCCACGGTCATGCTGAATCAATCATTTCCGTGTTGAGTTGAGTTGGTAAACTGGATACAAAATTGGCTTCGTCACAGAACACACAGTGCAGTTGTGGAGGTTTATTTTTCTGACTGGAGATCTGTAACCAGTGGTGTTCTGCAAGGATCAGTACTGGGACCTCTTGTCTATAATTTAAATAAATGATTTGGATGAAAATGTTGATTTGTCTGATTATTAAGTTTGCAGACGACACTGAAATTGGTGGAGTTCTGGATAGTGAGGAAGGTTGTCAAAAGATAACAGCAGGCAGGATATAGATCAGTTGGAAAGTTAGGTAGAGAAATGGCAGATAGAGTTTAAACTGTAAGGTTTTGGAGTAGATTTGTAGCTCGGGTTGTGGGTGTTGAGGTTGGTTGGCTCGCCGAGCTGGTTTGTTGTTCCGCAGACGTTTTGTTACCGTGCTTGGTAACATCCTCAGTGCGGCCTCCAATGAAGCTGGCCGATGTTGTTACCCAGCAGGGTAATGAAACGTCTGCAGAATAACAAACCAGCTCAGCGGGCCAACCAACCTCAGATTTAAACTGGACGAGTGTAAGACTATGTATTTTGGGAGGTCAAATGCAACAGTAAAGTATACAGTAAATGGCAGGACCCTTAGGCGCATTGAAATACAGAGGGCTATTGGGTGAAAGTCCTTTTCTCCCTGAAAATGGCAAGTGGATAAGGAGATAAAGAAGGGCGTACAGTATGCTGGCCTTCATCGGTCGGGGCATTGAGTATAAAAGTTGGCAAGTCATGTTACGGCTGTATAAAACTTTGGTTAGGCCAAATTTGGAATATTGTGTGCGGTTCTGCTTGTCATACTATCATAAGGATGTGGAGGTTTTGGAAAGGGTGTAAAAGAGCTTCACCAGGACGTTACTATCTCTGAGTGAGCTTTACCAGGACATTGCATGGATTGGAGTGTATTAGCTATAAGGAGAGGTTGGACAAACTTGGATTGTTTTTGCTAGAGCGTTGGAGGCTGAGCTACCTGATAGAAGTGCGTAAAATTATGAGGGGCATGGATAGGGTGGATAGAGTCATAAAGTTGTAGAGGTGTACAGCATGGAAACAGACCCTTCAGTCTAACTCATCCATGTCAATCAGACATCCTATATAAATCTAGTCCCATTTGCCAGCATCTGGCCCATATCTCTCTAAACCCTTCCTATTCATGTACACATTTAGACGTCTTTTAAATGTTGTAATTGTACCAGCCTCCACCACTTCCTCTGGCAGCTCATTCCATACACACACCACCCTTTGCATGAAAAAGTTGCCCCTTAGGCCCCTTTTAAATCTTTTCCCTCTCACCCTATGCCCTCTAGTTTCGGACTCCCCTCCCCTGGGGAAAAGACCTTGTCTATTTACCTACCTTACATTTTATAAACCTCTATAAGGTCACCCCTCAGCCTCTGACACTCCATGGAAAATAGCCCAAGTCTATTCAGCATCTCCCTCTAGCTCAAACCGTCCAACACTTGCAATGTTCTTGTCAATCTTTTCTGAACCCTTTCAAGTTTCACAACATCCTTCCTTTGGCAGGGAGACTAGAACTGCACGCAGTATTCCAATAGTGGCCTAACCGATGTCCTGTACAGCTGCAACATGAATCCCAACTCCTATACTCAATGCACTGACCATAAAGGTAAGCGTACCAAATAATTGGAGTCGTTTTCCCCCAAAGTGGAAAATGTCAAAT